CATGTTTTAGCTATTCATTTTGAACTGTATTCTCTTTCTTCAAAACACAGCGCAGGTAGCAATCAAATGGAATTTATGGAGATCTCTCAGTAACATGGATTATGGTTATTTAGCTATGCTGTATACAATTGAACCAGACAGTTCCAGGCATAAAGATCTTTCCTTGAAAATATTTATGAACAGGCTAGTTAGAAAATAGAAAAGCTTTAGAACACTGAATGTTATGCACCTCACAGTACTGTGAATAGCTGGTGCCAATCAGAAAAGTGTAGTTACAAAAATGTCTCAAAAAATAAAAATCAAGTTTGTTTTTTACATTAAGTTGTGGCTTTATTCATAAAATACAATGTACACAATGGGTTTATTTAATTTATTTATTTATTAAAGATCTGCTCTAGGAATTATCTTGGGGAAGTTCACTGGCCTGTGCTGTGTAAGAGGTCAGAGTAGATGATCACAATGGCCCCTTCTGGCCTTTGAACATATGAAACAATAAATGGGTTTATTCAAATTGTTAAATCACTAGTCACATTGGAAACTTTCAGAGTTTACAGTTCTAACGGTGATGTCTGCTCAGCAGGTTGAATGCACCTACTTCATTGCTGAGCGACCCAAGTGAAATTCAAGAGAATGTGCCAGCATGTGTTAATACTGATCAGGCTTGAGTGGAACGTTAACTGATGATCAACAGCATCACTGGGGAGATGTGGGACCAGGAGCAAATGACCAGCAGTGTGCTGCCATTTTAACAGAAAATTACAAAGTATAACATCCCAAGAGATCCTAGAGTGCTTTGCAGGCATCATCTGCTACTATTGAAATACACCTGCAAGCAGGTTGGTGTGGTAGTCTTTACAAGTTCTCTGTCTGTGCTCCTCTAATAACCCCTGCTCCACACAGAGCTTAAAGCCATAATTAGGGCCCCCTTTATCCAGATACTTAAAGAATTTTTTCACTTCAAGGTCCCAGAAGCAAAGACAAGGTTTTCATCTCGAGGCCAAAAGACCAAAAACATCAAGACACTTGATCACGGCCTTGGATAGGCCAAGAGACTACTGACACTTGATCTTAGCTCATAGAGAGCCGAAAAGCACACGAGTAGTCCTATTAACTTCCAGAGTCTACTCAGGAGTTTAAAGTTAAAACAGTTACATAGGTACTTGCAAGACTGGATTCTAGAACTAGGATATCCCTACAGGAGGATAGAGATAGGATCTTACAAAAATATGATAGGCTCCTCAAACAAGCTTAGCAAGGGTATAAATGGGATTCTGAAGGAAAAGGTATAAACAGATAAAATATGTTCCCAAAGACTTGATATACCATTGAAAGCTTTAAAAACATTCTAATCCCAACGTTCTCTAAAAGTACATCCACTCAACAGAGCTCCACTTGAGTCCCTGCTTAGAATCCATTGACTCCCGATTTTATAGGGACGGTCCCGATTTTTGGGTCTTTTTCTTATACAGGCTCCTATTACCCCCCACCCCCTGTCCCGATTTTTCACATTTACTGTTTGGTCACCCTACTAATTACATGAGCCAACTGGATCCAGTTGCAGGAGGACTGAAACCTAAGTGAAACGCAGAAAATTAAACATTGTCTAAAAGATGAGCTTTGAGAAAAAACACCAACAGTTTGTGTCCTGTGATAAAAACTGCAAAAGTTGTCAACACTAGCAAGAAACAGACATTTAAGAAATATTTTATCTGGAAACGTCCCTAAAAATTAAGGAAAATCCTTAATATTAATAGAAAATACATTGTAAAGAGTTTATATAGGTATATTTATTAATATTACATTATTATAAAAAATATTGATTTCGTAAAGCAACATTTTATGCAACCAACAATTAATATTTGAAGCTTTGTTACCTGACAATCTCCCGTGAAGACGCAGGAAAAAAAACATGTTAATAAAATGAAAAAAGTAAATAAATTAATACAGCCAAAAACGTAGTAATCTGCCCTTGGGTGCCATGTGGCATCAACACTGCAGTATCCGAAACCTGCCACTAGATGGCCCGCAGTTAGTGGTATCAGTACTGGCGGAAGTAGCTTCATTCTCGCTCCTCTGGCTGTTGCCTATGCCATTAGCGGAAGTTGCTTGGAGATAGGTCCTGGCAGATTATAGTTGCTATTATTGTAGAAAAACTACGAGTTATTTTAACATCTGTTATTCTCTTAAATAAATACTCTCTGGTCTTCATCTAACCATCGTAGTTACTAGGGTTAGGAGGCTGGTTCAGAGTCCCCCTTTCTGGGTCCTGATCAGGGATCTGGCCTGCCAGGACCTTCAGGCGTTACCTCATCAGCCCGCGCGCTCGCCCGTTCTCTCTCTTTCAGCGGCGCTGCCTCTCAGGGTGGCCGCCATTAGGAACTGGTAAGTGCCGCGCCGGTCGGGAATCTGTCGCCATCGGTGCCCGGGGACCCGCTAGCCCGGCCCTGCCGCCTCCCAAGGCCTGTTGGCGGCTCCCTCCTTCAGCGCTCCGGGGTATTTCCCGGCGGAGGCGAATTATTGTGCCGGCGGAGCCCAGGCCGCGGACCGGGGGGTTGCCTGGCGGCCGAGCCGGATTCGGGAGCGGGATGCAGGGAAGGGGGGTTAGGCGAGCTTGGGGATGTGGTGGGCCGCTCCGGGAGGGGCGAGTTCTGGGCTCCCCGACTGAAGGGGTGGATTCATTCGCCGGCCGTGGGAAAGCAGGGGGCAGAGCAGGAGACCCCCTGGCCCCCAGCGCTGGGTGACCGGAGCTTTCTTCCTCACCCCCCTAACTCGGGCTGCCAGGGGAGGGGGGCGCGGGTCCCGTCTCCGAATGCTGGGGGCGCTGGGGCTGCAGCTTGGGGAAACGGGGCATCGTCCCCCACCCCTGCAGGGGCTCCAGTGTCGCCTCGGCTGTGCGCTTGGAAACCCAGTGGCAAGAGGCCTGCTTGTTGGGAGGAGGGGAGCGTGATCGGAGGAAACCTACTAGGATCCCCCAAAATGCCCTCCTCCTACTGAGTGGTAATTTACTCACACGAGTGATCACGCGGACGTCACTATCTAATCTCTTTATACTACTGCGCTGAACATCCTAGTATCTGAGCATCGTTCACCTCTAGTCAACCAAGATCGCACTGGAAATCCCAATTTAAAGTGGTTGCATAAGCCACTGTGTTGGCCAGTGGAAGTGGGAGCCTTGCTGTAGGTAAGGGAAAGGCCTTGAGGGTTAATGCTAGAGGGAGTTATTGCATTGCACAGGGGAAACTGAAACGTTCTTTAATGGACACACAGCTCAAACTGAAATAGCATCTGCTGAGGCGATACTGGAGAGATCTAGTTGGTATGGGGGGGGGGGGCAAGATTATATTTACTTTTCTAGTTTCTATGGAATGGAAAATAGTACATGTTGCAAGGATGGCTTTTTAGACTCAGCTGTTTGGGCACAAACTGGAAGGAGTCTATCAACAGCCACAGAACTGGGAGGATGGGTGGGATCATTTGGGAATTAAACTTCTAAAAACGTCTTGTGCAAGTTCTATGATACAACTTGCAAAGACATTTTATTCCCAAATAACTTTGACTCGTGTGGGCAAAATGGGACCTCCCCAGGACCGCATCTGGAGAGCTTACAGTACTCTTCCAGCTTCGGAAGCAGGAGGGAGAACTACTGCAGAGGAATACCCATTCCATTACTAGCTTTGGAAGTGGTTAGTTAATGGAAGGCAATCTGCTACAGGTTTGAGTGAGATGACTTATTGCCAACTTGTTCTGTGGTCTTTCTTATCTGTGTTTTATCTATCATAGACACCATGCCTGCCCTCAGACCCCTGGTGAAACCTAAGATCGTCAAGAAGAGAACCAAGAAGTTCATCCGCCATCAATCAGATCGCTATGTCAAGATCAAGGTACGCATCCCACTGGAGAAAAAAAAAATTGGAAAAGTGTCTAAATCTTAAAGCCTCAGAAGTGACTATATTTAGTTGCTATGATGAGGTCAAACATAAAAAGTACCTTTAATTATCGAGAATCCGAAATGTGGATTTTCTGTAATAACACCATGGTAGAGGTTCCTTGCAGATGTGCTTGTAATGTTGTAGGATGTGAGAAATGTTTGTTTGAAAAAGATCACGTCCACCCTGAATCTTTGGATTTATTCTTCATGATTGTGCAATTGTATTCTTAAAACTTCCTTGCATTTCTGTAGCGCAACTGGCGTAAACCAAGAGGTATCGATAACAGAGCTCGCAGGAGGTTCAAGGGCCAAATCTTGATGCCCAACATTGGTTATGGTAGCAATAGAAAGACGAAACACATGCTGCCCACAGGATTCAAAAAGTTTCTGGTCCACAATGTCAAAGAACTTGAGGTGCTGCTGATGAGTAACAAGTAAGTTGGGAAAGATCTCTTTAAAACTCATTCAAAATGTTTGTCTTAAACTAACCCTGGTATTCTGTGATGCAGGTTTACACTTCAGTTCTGATGTAATTTTGTGATCAAAATCAAGGTTCTCAGGGGGTGGGATGGGGGGCAGGAGTGCAGGGCAAGTTTCAAGGGAAGGGAGAGATCCAGTGAAATGGTTAGAATCTGTTAGATTTTAAGCCCAAGGTGCTCTGTTCTTTTTCTCCTGCCTTTGCCTGTCGCTGGAGCTGCTCCCTCTTCTTGCCCATCTATACCATGCTTTGCGCCCAGGAAGTACCATGCCATTATTCTGGGCCTTCGCTCATTGGGGCCTCAGTCATGTTTCTAGGCCTTTGGACACTACTGACATGCATAAGAGGATGAACATGCAGTCCTGCTTGTCAAAGTATTCAACTTCTTGACATTTCTTAAGTGGAACCTTCCTGGAGCAGAATGTGGGAGGGGATGAACTGAAACTAGCCCTAGCCTGCAACTGCTCTAGCCACCCTTGTACAGCATTCCTATCCCTCCGCAATATCAACTTGCTGACCAGCCTGTACCCTCCAACTCAAAACCAAGCCATGGTTTCTTGCTGTTCCTGTAATACCATGGTTTTTTTAGGAACAACAAAAGACTGTGAGATGTGACCATAAAGGATTTTGGGAATTGAGGTAAAAAACAAGGTTGTATTTGAGTTTTGGGGTCCAAGGTGGAGAGAGCTTAAGAACACCTGGCTTAAAAGAACAGAATTAACCATTCTATTTAAGTACAGTGCATTGTCCTGTTCAGCCTTTATGATCAGATCATTTTATGATCAAACATTCAAAGGATAGAAATAATTTTGAACTTTGATTAAACAAACCCTAAACTTTGCTTTGTATAGGTTTTTGTAGATCTTATTCTTGTGATACAGGCTTCCTGAGTAACTACATTATAGAACCATAAAAATGTAGGGCGCAAGGGCCCTGGAGAAGTCATGTCATGTAGTCCTCCTTAACTCTAATGTTGAGCAGGACCAAGTATAACTAGGCCTTTCCTGACTGGTTTGTGTAATCTGTTCTTTAAAACCCTCCACTGATGGGGATTCCGCAACCTCTCTTTAACTTAAGTATCATGATTGATCTTAATATCACACTAAATTCAGGGTCTGATTTGACAATGTGCTGAATACCTCCACGTCTACAAACTGCTGCAGCAGCATCCTAGAAAATAGTACTAGGCAGATGGATTTGCTTTCATCAACTTGACATTTAGGTGCTATAAGGACAAGGTGGAAACACAGTAATGATTTAGGAATAATGTGTTTTAAGATTGCATTTTTCTTAATACCGTATTTGCTAAATTGTACAAGCAAAAGTTCATAGTCATATGTAGTAACTAATAGAGGCTTTATAAAATGACACTTAATTCTTTAAACAGTAACCTTTTATCCTTGTAAATGCATCTGATGACTTGTGTATTGCAGGAAACCTATTTGGTCCCTGTTATATTTTGAATTGCATTTTCTAACTACGTGTTACGTTTTGCTGTAACTAAACTGAGCCCCACAAGGAAACTATCAGTGGTAGGGCTTGAGTCACTACTGACATGAGTGGATGCAACCTGGCTGTTTTCATTGGATCTGCGCTGCCTTATTCCAGCAGTAACTCAATCCGAGGATGTTAGAAATAATGCAGAGAAGTGGGGTCAGGAGAGGAAAATGCAGTTGGCATTTGAAGAAGAGAATAGTAGACAGTTCAGTAGCAGGGTAGGGGAGTGTGTTGCTACTTGGGAGCAGGAAGCTGGTACTAATATTTTGTGATTTGACACACTGTCCTACTGCAAGAGTTAATCTTCTACAGCAGTGGGCAGATGAGAAATGGAGAAAGGAAATGAAGTGCAAGTGGAATATTTGGGCTGTTAAACTTTTTTGTAGATTTTGCTAAAATACCAGATTAAAACCTACTCATCTTTCAACTAACATGGTGTGTTCAGAATTTAGATTTAATGTTTACATTCAAACTTAAGCCTATTTAGTCCTAGTTATAAATAGTCCTGAAGAGTGTTGCAGAGGAGTAACTGCTTAAATTATGAATTCTCAGACACCAGCTAATACTATATTTGATTCTTCAAATATTTATTTTAACTTTCTTTCAAAAATACTTTTAGAGCTGCTTGCTTGTTCTTTCCCTACACAATGCATGCACACTGAGCTCAATATTTCCATTCCTGTGCTGCTTAAAAGGGGGAGACTTCCCCCCCTAGGCTGTGAATTGAATCCTGGCCTGCCTTATGCTGCTGAAATACTGATTCTTTATCCATATTAATATTTTAATAGGTCTTATTGTGCAGAGATTGCTCACAACGTTTCCTCCAAGAACCGCAAGGTAATCGTGGAACGAGCAGCTCAGCTTGCGATCAAGATCACCAATCCAAATGCCAGACTGCGCAGCGAGGAAAACGAATAAATGGTCTCCTCCTCTGTGTAACTGTAATTAATAAAATACAAAAAAGCCACAATGTGATGGTACGTGTTGAATGGTTGTATTAAGTCTTCATCAGACCAGACCTCAATGAAGATTTCATCTCCCTATGAAATATTAGTGAAAAAGTGAGACTAAAGGCAGACTGAGTGCCTCAGTTTTCCTTCTGTGCTGCTCTTAAAGGTGGAGGGAAGGAACTGCACTTTGCAATGGTGTGAAATTGCACTGGTACTGAATTAGCTTTCATTT